AATTTCTAGACTGAGAAGTATGTAAGAAAACTAAACAAATTCTGACCATTTGCAGAAAGAGAAATCAGGATCACCTGTTACTACTTCCAATTCTCAAATATCAGATAAGCTTTTATAGAAAAAAATGTAAGTTAATCTTAACTTCTGCATACCCCCAGTTGTTTACCGAATAACTAAACCACATTAGAATGGTGAGCAGAACCTTTGCAGTTCAATCACTCTATCGTGGACTCATCTGATCACTGTCCAGGTGCCTGTGGAATTTTTTTCCTACAAGTTTATCAAATTCATAATTTAAGTGACTTCAAATTAATAATCTGAAATGGTTATATAGCAGTATATAGTATGTTCATAATTATATAGTTTAAAAAATGATTAATAAATCAAAAAACTAAAAAATTTTGGTTGTCATTGAGTTTCACCAGCGCAGCACAGAGGGGCGCACTTGTGTGAGATGGACGGCAGACCGCCTGGCTCGTGTAGCAGTTACAGCTAAGCCTGTCGTTAGTGAGAGGACCCACTGCAGGTCAGCATTCCCTGAGAAAACCTTCTGTGATGATGGACACACCCAGTATCTACACAGCCCACTGTGGCAGCCACTTAGCCATACATGGCGATGAGTACTTAAAACTCATCTTAAAACTCTACTTAAAACTCACTTCCTAGTGAGACGTAGGAAGTTTATTTAAAGTTTGATTTGAATTAGTCATTTGTAACTGATGACTAGTATTGGTTTGGGGGAGGATTTTCTGGAGCACCCTGGGTAGAGTGCTATGGCACCATCATAGCTCACAGCAACATCAAACTCTTGGGCTTGAACAATAGTTTTGCCTCAGTCTTCCAAGTAGCTGGGAGGCTACTGATTCAATGTCTCCTTAATTTTTTTCTATTTTTAGGAGAGAAGGATCTCACTCTTTCTCAGACTGGTCTCAAATTTCATCTTTTTGTTGTTGTTGTTGTTGCAGGTTTTTTTTTTTTTTTGGCCAGGGCTAGGTTCGAACCTGTCACCCTCAGTATATGGGATGGGCGCCCTACTCCCTGAGCCACAGGCACTGCCCAAGGTCTCAAACTTCTGAGCTCAAGCAGTCCACCTGCCTTGGCCTCCCAGGCAGCTAAGATCACAGGCATAAGCCACTGAGCCCAGCCTAATGACTCGTGTTGTAACAGATGGCACAGCTCTAGATGGACATCAGCAAACTCCTCCTTCAGAATATTTACTGTGTATTCTAGTCATCCTGTTCTAGGAGGAGGAGTCAAAATAGTGTCCTTAACATAAGCTTCAACTGGGTATCACACAGTGAAAACTCCACCCTTCCACACAACTGAACATCTTAAAGAGCCAATCAGTACATTGCCACCGATCCCATCTACTCTTGTATGCTGATTCTCTAGAATTTCCAAATGGGCATCGGATTAAAGACTGGATCTTCTGGCTGGGTGCAGCAGCTCACATCTATAATCCTAGCACGCTGGGAAGCTGAGGTGGGGGATTGCTTCAGGCCAGAGGAGTTCAAGACCAGTCTGAGCAAGAGTGAGATCTT